ACTATAGCATAGCTAAAATTAAGTAACATTTTTACTAAATAGTTCCGCAATTATCACTTTGATCGAAAACATTATAAATTCGAAAACATTATAATTCGATCAAACGGGTTAACACAGATTTACATTGATAGTACATAGCTAACCCGTTTGTGTTAAAGTTTTAGATATATAAATTCTTTTAAAAAAAATCGAATAAATCAATTGTAAAATACATATATTGTTATATGTTAGCATTGATGTAAATTAATAAACGAAATATTTTGAATTGTGATGCTAAGCGGTACTATTTTCATTTCATCTGATTTGCGTGATGAGTTTTATTTATTTCACAATTTAATAATCAAAAAGTCGCTTTGGCCGAGTGGTTAAGGCGTGTGCCTGCTAAGTACATGGGGTTTCCCCGCGAGAGTTCGAATCTCTCAGGCGACGAATATACATTTTGTTTCTTTCCAATTTTTCAATTTCGAAATCTCAAAATCGAATCACACCGATTCAAAATCTAAAATATCAAAACTTTCCAAAGTCTTTCTTATTTATTTTATACTCACTTCACACTTTACATCAAACACAAAGACGAAGAAACACTTAAAACATCCCAAAATCAACCATCACTAAACCTTCTTCTCAAGCTTCGAAGCTTCCAGATCTGCAGCTTTTTTCAGAAAATTACCATCATCATCATCTAAAACCATCGTAATCGGACTTGAACCAAGCCCATCGGCAATCGCAAGCACGATCTTCTTCATCTCCGATCTAAACTCCTCCAGATCCACCGTATCGCTCTGATCCGTATCGAATTTCTCGAATATCGAATCGTATAGCTTCGTTAACTCGTCCGGAGGAGTCACCACATCGACACCGAAGTGCGATTCCAATAGCCTCATCGATTCGAACGCTTTTCGTAGCTCAGGTCGTGATAAAACGCCGTCGTTGTTTAGATCTAGAGATGAGAATCTATCGTCGACGCTTTTTTTGAACTGTTCTTCGTCGGCGACGAACGATCGTACCGTTGATCCATCGATGACGACAACTCCCATTTTCTCTCTGTTTTTTGTTTTTATTTTCAAAAGATTTGAGAGGATAATATATATATATTGGCGTGTAGCTGGGTGAGTCGGTGAAGAAGATAAAAGAATCTCTAATGGTATTTGCCTCGTAAAAACAAGTTTATAGTTTTGGCGTGTATATCTATGGGCCATAAAATGAGTTATATAGGCCTTGAATGTTTACTGCGGATCATGCGTTCCCAGGTGCGGGATAATAATTTATTCCCATTCACCATTTTTTTAACATTGCGTTTTTGAATAAAAATTAAAGATTAATTAGCTTAATATTATGTTTTGAACAAGGAATTAAAAAACTAACATGTACATAAAAGAATTTAGGTGAATAGCATAGACAAAAAAATATTTGGACAAATTTGCCTCTATTAAATATAGTATTTATTGCTGGTAATAAAGATCCATAAAAATCAGTGGTGAATAATATGGAAAACAGGGTTGGTGGTGGATCTCGAAAAAAAAAGAGAAATATGTATAGTTGACTATATTCGATTTTCTTTTATGTTGTTGTAGTTAGCTATAATTCAAATACCGTAATTAACTATTTGTTTCATATGACAAAAGGGACTATGGTTGTTGTGATGTTGGGTGAATGAGTTGCTTTGGAGACTGGTGTTCCTGATTTCAAACCTAAGCAGGACGAGTTGTTCAAATGTGGTTATTGTGTCCGTAGACAGTATAGTTAGCTATGTCATGAATATTGGATATATATAAAATTAAATATGTAACACATATAGCTAACTATCTCTTGTTAATGGATAGTATATTTGGCTATGTCATTAACTATGTAAATAGACTGTATAGTTAGCTA